TTACTCCCGTAGTCCGGGGCGCTGTCCCGGTAGCCACTGTGCTCGCCACTCCTGTTGCCCGTGTGTCTGCAGCTTCAGCCGCCGCCTTCTATCTCCTCTCCTCTCACTCTCCCTCCTCCTCCTCACTTGCCCGTTGTGACCACTGCTAGCTTTGCTCATAATTATGAACTCTAAACTATTGCTTCTTAAACTTGTGCTCAAAATGTGTGGTGACATTGTGATCCACCCTGAGCTTGTTTTTGCTTTGCCTGCTCTGCTGATTACACCCCACTTTGGCTATGGGGGTGTGTCAGAATATTATCTTATTGTTCTAGCCTGTAGTGGGGTGCTCTATAGCGAGTACAACCCTTCTAGGGTTTGCTATTTGTATCCTCATTCTTGCTAGTTCAACCCTCTTTCTTTCTTCTAATTTTGACAATCTTGTCCAAGCTGCACCACATCACCCTCCTGGGACGTACAAGGAACAGATTGCGTCGACCAGTGGTCCCGATATTAATTATAAACAATCTTGGCGGTAAGTTTTCTAGCATTCATTCCACATGACTTCTATTGTCACATGCAAGTTCTTAATCACCCCATCCACCTCATGTTTGTGCCACCTTCTTTTGTTATCTTGCACACCATCGTCCGTTTTTGCAGGCTCAAGGAAAAGATGCTGAAGGAACGTTTTGGAGATTGGAAAACGTCTTTTCGCTACATTCCGCGGGTGTTGGAACGCTTCAAAGAGATTGACGCTGATTCAACGCTCGACCTGGTAACAAGGGATCACGCTTTTTTCCGGGCTTTTGTCGCCCCATCGGCGTCAAGAAGTGCTCTAAGGTTCTGTCGTCCAGTCATAGGTTTGGATGGTACATTTCTTATTCGTGCGCAACGGGCCACGCTCTTGGTAGCAGCTGCTAAGGATGGAAATAACCAGCTTGTTCCACTCGCTTACGGCTTGTGCGAGGGTGAAAACAAAGATAGTTGGAAGTGGTTTTGTGAGAATTTGTTGAAGCATTTTCCGTCGTGGCCGGCCACCCAGGATGCCTCCCTCATCAGCGATCGTGACAAGGGCTTAATTCTGGCGGTTAAAGAAGTTTTCCCATCCCAGTTCCCCCACTACTTTTGCAGCTGGCACTTGGAGCAGAATGTGCTCAAGTTTGGCCCTAACGCCTCCGAACTCTTCAAGAAACTCGCCAACTTCCGCACTAAGCGGAAGTTTGGCAAACTCGTGAGGAGATGCCGGGCCGAATGTGCTGTAATGGCTAACTATCTCTTTAGGGTCGAGGAGGCCAGTGCGCAGCAGAGCCGTGGTGGACGCGGGGCCAACCAGCGTGCACGGGAGCCAGATGCGGGGGATGGGTTGACAAGCCGCACGGGTGCTGCTAGAAGCGTGAGAATGGCAAGGATGGAAGTGCAGCGGCAAAGGAGGAGTGGTCGCAGGGGAGAGCAGCACGCACCATCACAGCAGGAACCTTCTCAGCAGGCACCATCTCAGCAACGACCATCCCAGCACCCAGTGACACAACCACCATCATCGTTGCAGGGACGATCTCAGCTGCCACACGCTCGGCAGTATCCATTTCAACAGCCACCATCTCAGCGTACACCGTCAATCCACAGAAGAGTACATCAGCATTCACGTCAGCAACAATCAACCCAGCAGCCACCATTTCAGCAGCAGCCATCTCAGCAGCTTCCATCGCAGCCGCCCCAAAGGGACCATGGGTTGCCCCCCATGCCAACTGCAGATCACACGTGTCACCGGCCTAGAGACATGCAGCCTCAATCGACGGCTGCTGACAACATGCATCCACTTGATCGTGTGACAGCAACCACATCTGCGCACCCTTCTTTGGCAGGCGAGAATGAGAGAGACAATACTTCAACCATCTCAGACAGTGAGGTGGAGGCAGATACTGCGGAGATAACTGCTACAACGGGAGCTAGACTGCCAGCACAGCATGGTCGACCGCGTTCCAGCAGTGCAAAGTCAACGGCGTGCCAACGCTGCAGGTTGACAGCGTGCCAGCATTGCTCCCACAGAACAGCAGTGCACCTACTTCGCAGGTGCTCGTAGATGATTGGTGGGCTAAGCCTCGTCACCTGAACAGCGCACGCACCAAGTCATCCTCGTGGTGACAGCTCCACCTGATCCGCCACGTCGACCTCGGGATACCACCACCGAGGTCGGACTCGCCAACTTCGCCTGGGTGACCGTCGCACTCCTTCGCAGAACCTCGCCACCCACGTATTCCGGTCGACCGGGCAACCATGTCGACCAGCTGTTCCTGTATGTGCTCGTCGACCTCCCAAGTCGACGACCACCCCAAGTCGACCTCACCAGGTCGACCATACCTCTGGTCAACCAGCTCCAGGTCGATGTCACTCCTGGTCGACCAGCTCCACGTCGACCAGCGCAGTTCTCAGCCGACCACCCAGGTCGGCTACCCGAAGTTGGCGTCACCAAGTCGGCGCCGACTTCCAGGTCGACGTGCCACATCGCCGACCACCAAGTCGGCGGCATTGCAGTGGCCCGGTGCAAGTCGACCAACCCTGTCGACCAGCTCGCCCAAGTCGGCGTCGCCCACTGCAACAAGTCGGCTGTACCTCCCGTACACCCAACCACGAAGTCGGCTCCGCCCAAGAAAGGACGGGGCCAACAACAACTCCCGTTGATAGATACCACAGATGAAGTATTCAAGGAGCACTTTGACATGGAGGATGGGAGTCAAATCAGCTGCGGGGAGGATTCGGAGCCTAATGGGGATGAGGAGCGTACAGACATGGGCCATGGCTGCCAATCCAACAATACTACAACTCAACCGCCATCCACCACAACAGCGCAATAAGCGGCCATGAGACGCCAACGGAGGATGGAGATTATCAGGGGAAGGCGGAGTGCAAGAGAGGCAGGTGCAAGAAGGCAGGAATGCGCCGGATCACCAGTAGCACACCTGCCTACGCAAGGGAGCCAAAGTGCGCGTCAGCCACTGCCGCAGCAGGATGTTCCGACAAACATGGGTCGGGCCAACGAAGCCGCAGTGGGAACAGACGTTAACCATGGTGTAGAGACGGGATTGGGGGGGGCGGGCAATGCTGATGCTGAGCGCGTGGACAGTGACACAATGGAGGATGGGGCGGGCATTATTGTTTGCACGGGCCAGGATGGACCGAGATTCAAGAGGAAAAAAAAGATCAGAGTATTCATCAAGCAATGGGCACGGTGTTATGCCCCCACATGTCGGTTTGGCATTTACAGCAGCCAGATGGTGGGGTCGATTAACAATGCTATTAAGAAGATCCGCATCTTGCCGGTATCTTACGTGATGGCGGGCATGTGGGATTGGATGGCTAAAATATACTCAGATGGGCAGAAAAAGTCATCCAACTGGCAGCATGCATTGACGGTCGAAGCTGAGAAGCGGTTTGAGCTGAAAAAGAACCGAAGCTGTGGTTACAGGGTGACACGCAATGGGCCGAGCAGGGCAAGAGTTCGGAACAAGGGGAGTACTATGGAACAACGTCCCCTCTCCTTCAACAATGATGTGGGAGAGAGATTGTGCGAGTGCAAGAACTGGCAAGAATATCGGTTTCCTTGTTCTCATGCGTTTGCACACTTATGGGATAGGCAAATGGATGTTAGCCCCTTGATCACCAGGTACTGGAAGACGGAGAACTGGAGAAGGACGTACTCGGCACTCATTCCGTATTCGTGTATAGACACGGTCATCGCGGAGACCAAGCCCGTTGAGGAGGGAGTTTGTGACCCCCCGGTCTTTGTGCAGAGAGGATCAGGGCGGTCACAATCCAACCGAAGGCGTGAAGCGCCAAAACGGACATACAAATGTGGCGACTGTGGGTCCACTCAGCATACCAGGAAGAAGTGTAAGGAAAAATATGGGGGGTCAGAGGTGTAACGTGTAGCAAATTAATGGTATGGGGTACGATAATTTGCTGAGTGTTGAATAATAGGGATTGTCGGAGGCTGCTTTTTTTTTGCTTCTATATGAATATAGGAGATTGTCAAGAACATTGATTAATGATCCCACTTATGACCGGTCATGTAATCATACGTTCCCGACCAATGATATACTCTCGAACAATTGACTGGCCTTATAGCATTCCACACTTGACCAGTAATACACACACGCACATATGATCGCGCATATGCTCCCTCGTATATGACCGGTCATATACACAAGAGCACACGACTGGTCGAAACACAACGCGCATATGACCGGTCCACGAGGCAAATTTGGGGTTCGATGTTTATCGCGCACGCACACCGTTACGTGCGAGAGACGGATACAGTAAAGTGGTTTCGGTAAATGCTATCTATACAATAAAATTAGGGTTGTAAATGTCAACACTATCGCACGTCAGTTGTGATGCACTATAGGTTGATATTGAAATATGTATTCACGCTTATGGTGTCATGCAGTAGGCTGGAGACAGCCACTTGTATTCCCCTCACAAGCACAAAAAAATGACCGTGCGAGTTTATGTGTCATGCATTCGAACTTCCACCGCGTCCCTTCCTCCCATACAGCGTTACAGCTTGCTCAGCATGGCCTTCGAGAAGGAGCACGGAAACCGACCTATAGAAGAGATGAAAGCGGGGCTCGAGAGATTCCAGCCACACGTCATGGAGGTGTGTTTACCTGTTGTATGCTCGTATAACTTGCAACAACCTATCGTTATGTATGCGCTGACATGCTGTTATAGCAACCGATGTAACCCTGCCGCAACCATGCACATGGTGCACCCTTGGTCAGGATGCTGCGAAACAGCCCCACCAGTTCTTTCGGGTGTATGGTGCCAATGTGCTGAGTGCTACATTCAGTATGTGCATGGTGCGTTCAATTTTGTTTAACGCTGCATGTGCCTTTGCTGTATTGCAGGCGTGGCAGATGCCTTTGCAGCAGAACGATGTTGACTGCGGCATCTTCGTCTGCCAGTACATTCATGCGCTTGTGGAGGCGTGTTTTGAAGGAGCTGAGAACGGGGTGCGGTTCAGGATGAGCCCGTTGGCATACCGACGTGGGTTACGGGAGGATGTATGCGCTCTTGCAGAAGGGCGGCTGATCGGCGAGCTCACGGCAGCTGGGCATGAGATCCCTCCTGGCAACGAGATCAGGAAACCGCATGAGGCTGAGGTGATTGGCGATGAGGTGGAGGATAAGGAGTGGAGAGCGGAGATGGCCGAACGGATGCATAGGCTGGACGTTCGCAATGAGGGTCAGGCACTGGCTATTGCCAAGCTCGAGAGGCAATTGCATGAGCTGATGCTGTCCCGTGCTCCGCAGCATGGCATTGACGGTGAGGCTGCAGGGAAGGGACATGGTAATGAGGCAGGGGACGGTGGAACTGGTGAACAAGTAGGTGTGGAAGACAAGGGTAGGGTCAATGCTGACACACACGACAGCATGAGAGGGGCACATGGAGAGGGTCCTGTGGCCGCCGATGAGACATGTGAATGTGTGAAAGACAGTATGCGTGACGGTGTTGGGAAGGGTGATATGGTTGACGGTGCGAGGAGTAACAGTGCGAAAGTGGGGGTGCGTGCTGAGGGTGCTGGAGGCTTGCTGGGTGCTGGCGAGGCCGTGGGTACTGGGCATGGTTTGACAGCCTCGAACGCCGATGTGGATTTGGTGTCAGCATATAGCGCAGGGACAGAGACGACGAGTCGCAATAACGCGCGTGGTAGAGCTCCTAGCTTAGGATATACAGGAGTAAGCAAATGGGAAGGTAAGTGGGCGGCGAAGCTGTGTGTAGATGGTCCTAGAGGCAAATTTTTAGCGCTGGGACGGTACACCGACATCCTGGAAGCCGCAACAGCCTATGCTGTAGCCGCTCACATCTGCCGACCGTCCCTCTCCGGCTCAAAGATGGTCGAGTTGAACGAGGAGGACAGGAGGTGCTTGGATGGTTTTACATCGAAAGGGGTTGAGCGGATTGTGGATGCCAAGTGGTGGCCGGAGTAGAGGAACTGGCGTGCAGTGCTCAGCAGCCTCCCTGAGCCTTCCACCCCAGCGGCAGCAGGAGTTCACACACAGGCCCCACCTCCCTTTTCCCACTAGCATCCTGAAGCCACGTTTGGCTACCATCAGCCAGCTGCCGCCTTCGCGGGACACGCCGATGCAACCCCAAACCAAGGTGGATGGCAGCCGTACAGCCAGAGCCACCCTCCTCCCAAGCTCCATTATCCATCACAGCCATTTGCATTCAACCATATCCCAATCCATCCATTCAGCCAGGTGCAAGCACCTATTTCTGTACACCCAGTCCGTGCAGTAGCCATTGCTCCCAACCCTGCAGGCCATGCCGCAGCACAGAACACAGCACCCCATCCGCATGTCATACCCACACCACCAGATGTTGCACCCAGCATGGCACAACAGGCAACAGACCCACACGCCCACCAGGTTCCGCCCTCGGAGGAAAATGCACAGGCCAGTGTAGCTGGCATGACAGATTCCCAGCACAGTCTGAGCATGCCCACCGCACCCAACGACCCCAACCCCCCGTCGCACGGCTCCGCACTGGCAAGTGAGCAAGTAACAGGTGAGATGTGTTGATGTGTCATAGTTTTGCGTATCCATAGCCCATCAAAATCCTAACCTTGTATTAATTCTTGAATTTGTTTCATGACCATGTGCAGGGGCAGCAGACGGCATCATCGATGCCTTCCTTGGTCAAGCAACGCAGTAAATGCTGTGACATTTGGTGATACTGAAATTGCGTGATCTGTAAACATCTAAATGATCTACTTAAACTATGGTATACATGCGTAGATCCAAACAGGACATGCCAATGGATACATATGCATAGCATTATAACCCTCCGCTTCTGCCAGCCACGTGAAAGGTGTTCACAGTGTTATATATATTAACGGCATAACAAAACTCAAGGCAGTAGCCACGACGTAACAAATATACTCAGGGAGAATATTTTTTTGGATTATTTGTGTAGGTTTTATAAGCTCCCTAAGCATCATCAAATATGCGCGCACATAAAGGTTATTGCGCGGTCTTATGTCAAACACTATATATGTGTTATTGTTGTTTAGGCTATAGTGGGTTAGCCTTTAGGGGGTACACAACTTTTAGGGTTTCATACTTGTACTGCAATGTTGCCTAGTTCATTCACTTCTTGTTTTTGACATGGTATTAAGAGCTTAGGTTCTAGACCTAAGGGCCCACCGTTCCGCTAGAGGTGCCCTCGTGCGCCCTTTTTTTTAGCGCCCTCATGCGCCTTTCCCCTAGTGCGCCCTCGTGTGCTCCCCTCTCGTGCAGCCCGCTAGCAGCCCGAGCGCGGCCCCGCCTCTTTAGCCCGGGTAGGAAAACCGCCGCCTAGGGCGGCCCGATTCTTCTCACGAGCCCGAGCAGGCCGTCGCCCGTAGGCCCCTGCTAGCCCCTAGGCCGACGCGCGACCCACAGCCGCCGCTAGAACGCAGCCGCGGCCCGCGCGCCGCTGCACCTTAGGCGCCGCCATGCACCTAGCCTAGGTCCGCCGTCGCGCCGCCCTACCTACCCGACCCGCGCCGCCCGAGCCGCGCCGCCCGAGTCGCGTCGCCCTCACCGAGCCGCGCCGCCCTAATCGAGTCGCGCCGCCCTACCTGCTGCAACTGCTCTTCCTGTTTCTACTGCTACTGCTACTGCTACTCCTCCTGCCACTATGGCCAGTCCCACTGTTCTCACCTTTGACGCTGAGGGCCGCCCGGTTAAGTTCGATGTCTGGCTTGATGACCTCCACCTGTTCCTCCAGATCACTGCCAAGGACGATGTCTCACTGTACGATCACACGTCAGGCGCTGCTCCCGCACCTCCCACTACTGCTGACAGTACTGCTCGCTCCCAGTGGCAGACTCGTGATGCTCACACCCGCCTAGCCGTTCGCAGTCACCTGCCGGTAGATGAGCGCGAGCACTTCGGCCAGAATAAGACCGCTAAGGAGCTGTACGACGAAGTAGTCGCACGCTACTCCTCCCCTGCCACTACTGCTATAGGTCGTCTCTCACTGCCCTACCTCTACCCCGACCTGTCCGCCTTTACCACTGTAACTGACCTCATCACCTACCTCCGTACCAGTGACCTCCGCTACCGTGCCGCACTCCCCCCAGACTTCCTCGCCAAGAACCCCCCCTCGATGTACCTCACACTGTACCACCTTGTCACGCGTCTCCCTGACTCTCTTTGCACAGTCAGGGACCACTTTCTAGCCCTCTCCCCCACTAACCTCACTGTCGACCTCCTCGAGAAGGAACTCCTAGCAGCTGAGAAGAGAATTGTAGCTGTAGGTGCCTCTCGTGGTGACCCTCGCACCCCCTTCTTTGAGGGGTGCTCTCCCGTCCCCCTCCTCCCCTCCATTGCCTCTGCTGTTGCTGTCGACTTCCTCGGAGCTGAGGGGGTCGGGGCTGCGTCTGCCCCTAGTGGGAGGCGCAAGGGCGGCAGGGGCAAGGGGGGCAGGGGTGGTGGAGGTGGAGGCGGGGGCGGCGGCGGTGGAGTGGGTGGAGGGGGCGGGGGTGGTGGCGGTGGTGGGAGTGGCGCGGGTGGTGGGGGGGTCGGTGGCGGCACAGGGGGTGGTGGAGGCGGAAGTGGTGGAGGTGGTGAGGGTGGTGGTGGCAGTAGTGGCGGCGGTGGAGCGAGTGGCAGGCGCGGTGGAGCGGTACATCGGGGGGGGTTCGGCGGTGGCCAGAGGCAGCAGCAGCAGCGTCCCGGTGAGACTCCCTCGCCCCAGCAGCTCCGTGAGTGGTACTCTCAGCGTGGGGGGTCTGGGGGTGGGGGTACTTGCCCGTACGTCATCCGCAGAGGTGACCGCACTGGCCAGACTTGTGGGAGGTTTCACACTGCACAGCGCTGCTTCTTTCGCCTCGACGACACCTGGCGCGAGCAGTTCCCTGATGCCTCTGAGCTGCCCCGCTGGGCTGATCTGCTTAAGAAGGGAATTGATATCTTTGCTCTTGATTATGATGCTATCCTTGCTGCTATGTATGCATTGACTATTAGTGTTGAGGGTGACTGTTACCTGAGTGTACCGCCCGACCCAGGTATTGAGACTGGTGAGGCTGCAGCTCTAGGTGCTAGTGCGTCTGCTGCCCCAAGTCCTGGTGAGGCTGCTGCCCTAGGTGCTAGTGCGTCTGCGTCTACTGGTACCGCACCTACTGAGGCACTTCACACCTTCACACTGGACTCAAGTGCTTCCCGCTGTTTCTTTCGCGACCGCACTGCCCTAGAGCAGCTCCCTAGACCGGTTGCTGTCTCCCTGGCTGACCCCTCAGGGGGTCCGGTCCTTGCGACCTCCACCACTGCCCTCCCTTGTCCTGCTGTCCCGTCTGGCACGCTGTCAGGCCTCTACCTCCCCTCGTTCTCTACGAACTTGGTGGCGGGTTCTGCGCTCCAGGACGCGGGTGTTCATTAGTTCACCCCGGCCTACGAGCGTGTGACGCACAGCACGTGTGCCCGGACGGGTCGTCACCTGGCTACCTTCACTCGGCAGCCGGGGTCGGACTTGTACACACTGACCACTGAGTTACCTCAGGTAGCTGCGTCTGCGTTTGCGTCAGGTCAGCTGTTGGCCCCCTGCTCGTGCCGCTCCCTGTCGCACAGGACTGTCCTCTTGCACCACCGCCTTGGTGACCCGTCAGTGCAGCGCCTTCGCGGCATGCACTCCAGGTTTCTTGTCTCTGGTCTTCCCAGAGTTCTCCCTCCCCTACCACCCTCGCCTGCTCCTCCCTGTCTTCCCTGTGTCGAGGGGCGGCAACGCGCCGCTCCTCACTCCTCCTCGTTCCCTCCCACAGAGGCTCCCCTGTAGATTCTTCACCTATACGTGTGGGGCCCCGCCCGCGTCCGGGGACAGGGCCACGAGCGGTACTTTCTGCTGGTCGTCGACGACTACACGCGCTACACCACGGTCTTCCCCTTGCGTACCAAGGGTGAGGTCCCTGATGTTTTAATCCCCTGGATCCGCGCTGCTCGTCTCCAGTCGGACTTTCCTGTCCTACGTCTGCACTCTGACCGAGGTGGCGAGTTTTCCTCTGACCTCTTGGCAGCCTACTGTGCGGAGCACGGTATCCGCCAGACCTTCACTCTCCCGGCCTCTCCGCAGCAGAATGGGGTTGCTGAGCGCCGCATTGGTCTAGTCATGGAGGTCGCTCGTACCTCCATGATCCATGCGGCTGCCCCCCATTTCCTATGGCCGTTTGCAGTGCAGTACGCCACGCATCAGCTCAACCTCTGGCCCAGTGTCTCCGTTTGTAAGACCTCGCCTACCCTGGGTTGGACGGGGGAGGTTGGCGACGCGTCGGTGTTCCGAGTCTGAGGATGTCGATCCTTTGTCCGCAATACGTCCGCGGACAAACTCTCCTCCCGTGCTGTTCCCTGTGTCTTCTTGATGTGAGGATCTGGGATCGAGCTCAGAAAAGATGATTCAAATTGAATTGAATTGAATGTCTTCACCTGGGTACAACACGAGGCTATATATAGGCTCCGGTACGGGTAGAGGCTGAAGTAACCCTGCTTTTTTCTGCTTGCTGCTCTTCATCCGCTGGCACGTGTCGCAAGTGGTGAGAAACTGCTGCACGTCTGCTGCCATCCCGGGCCAGTAGTAATACTTCGCTATCCCTGCTAACGTCTTGTTGCTCCCGAAATGTCCCGCGTAAGGTACGTCGTGAAACTCCTCCAATAGGATCTGCCGTAGCGGGGCGTAATTCGGTACCCAAATCTTTCCTGAACCCTTCCTTACAGCTAAGTCTTTCTCCCACTGTAACAGCTTCTTGGTCTGTGCTGTAGCAATCTCTGCGTCCATGGAGTACCCATGTTGGAATAGACCCTTGAGCAGAGGGTTCATCCCGTCGAGCTGGATGCCTGCTACATGTCCGGGGCGGCTCAACATGTCTGCCTTGTTGTGTAGCCCGGGCTTGTAGATGATGTAGTAGTGGAAGTGAGTTTCCAGGAAGTCCACCCACCGCACCTGTCGTCGTGAGAGTGTTGGCTGTGACTTCAGGTATTTGAGACTGCAGTGGTCAGTATAGACTGTAGTCTTGGCTCCCTCTAGGTAACACCTCCACGCCTTGAAGGCTATGACTATCGCTAAGGCTTCCTTGTCGTGAATGGGGTAGTTTAGTTCAGCTCCGTGTAGCTTCTTACTGAGGTAGGCGATGGGCTGTAAACCGCGTCCGTGATCCTGCATCAGTACTGCTCCGACTACTTGGTCACTAGCATCTGCTTCCACCACGTAGTCCTTGTCTGGATCCGGCAAGATGAGTACTGGCGCTGTAGTCAGTGCTGTCTGTAGCTGCTCCATGGCTTGCTGATGAAGGGTATCCCATTTGTAGGGCGTATCCTTTTTCAGTAGGTCGGTTAGTGGCGCTGCCATCTTAGCGTACTGCGGCACGAACATGTTGTAGTAGTTGGCGAAGCCTAGGAACTCCTGTAACTCCTTCACGTTCTCTAGTACTTTCCACTTCTTGACGGCTTCGATCTTCCGTGGGTCCACGTGTACGCCCTCGGCACTCACCATGTGCCCGAGAAACTGCACCTTCTTCAGGGCGAAGTCGCTCTTTGACAGCTTCACGTAGAACTTGTTTTTCTGCAAGATCTCAAACACCTTCCGCAGATGCTCCACGTGCTCCTTCATGTTCTTGGAGTAGATGAGAATGTCGTCCAGGTACACCACCACGCATTCGTCTAGCAGGGGTCGTAAGATGTGAT